GTGCGGGTGTTGGGGTCGAAGTCTCCCACTAGCCGAGGACCGAACAAAAACCGACACGGGATAAACAAACCACCCCCGCGCGAGACCCCCAATAAATAACCGAGAGCTGCTCCAAGTGGAGTCTTGGCCGGAGCAAAGAAAAGTCCTTTTGTCGAGGGTGCTTAAGGAACGCCGTCGGCTCTCGCAGGGATAAATCATTGACTCGAGTAACTTCCAAGATAGCGTGCGACTGAGACGGACGCCACGGCCGGAACGGGACGAAAAGGGCGGGTAGGGGGGGTGTCTTTAGTGCCGCGATATATCTCGCGTTTTTTCGAAGCGAACGGGAGAGTAACCGAAACATATATAGCGGTTAGCTGAGGAGGAGGAGGAGGGGGAGGGTCGGGGACTCGAACCTACCCCTCGTTTTCGCCGGATTATCGATTACCGGGGGCGGGGGGTGGGATGTTGTGTTTCTTGGACGACGTCGTGCCGGGGGTGAAGGAGGGTTACGACGTCGGGATATCAGCAGGAATGAAAAAGTTCTAGAAGGTGGTTTTAGGGCTTGCTGGCTTGCTTTAGGCTTCGTTAATGAGTTCACATAATGTCACAGTTGTTTCATGTCCTGGACCATGATAATTTAGTCTCTTCTAGTAATAATAATAATTATTCTTTAAACAGATATTACTAGAATAATGTAAGGGAAGAACTGAATCCTAAACCCTGAACTTGTGTTTGCTTTTAAACTATGGACTAAGACCTATAGCTTCATTCGTTTTTAAGCGTTGTGTATTTCTGGTCAATTATGATAGGGGTCTCTCAGCAGAAAACTCCAATCAAATAGTAGTACATAGCAAGATAAATGATCGATCGAGCATTTTCAAAGTAAGTTTCCAAAATGTTTTCTGAGGAAGTAGTGCAGGGCAACTCCTAAGTAATCGTTTCTCTCTTTTCAGTAGACCCGCACAATTTGAATTTATTGAGCATGTTCAGTACCCTTCTCTGAAATCTTTCCCGAAAGAATGGTACAAGATAACTCCTAAATCATTAATTTCTAAGTTATTGTTTATGTTACAGGCATTTTATAGATGACATGTTCTTAAGGCCGACACATTTTCAAGTCTTCGGCAACTGACAAAAATGGAAAACAATTATAAGGTTGTTCGGAAAGTCATTTCGTTTTTTCCCGTCAGAGGACTTAATTACGTTTTTTCGAAACCAACTTCACACTTAAGCCGCATAATCATTATATGTCTTGACAGCTGATATTGCAAGGCTTGTGTGTGAAAAAGTTCTATTAATTCTACGCAGTAGTTTTTGGTTGGTGCCCTTTTAAATATGGAGAGCAATAAGCAGCATTTTCGTCATATTTTACTTTTTTACTTCAGAAAAGGTAAAAATGCTATCCAAGCGAGAAAAAAATTGACGGATGTGTATGGAGAAGGCGTGTTAACAGTACGCCAGTGCCAGAACTGGTTTGCAAAATTTCGATCCGACAATTTTGATGTCGAAGATGCACCACGGTCTGGACGGCATGTCGAAGCTGACAAAGATGCGATAAAGGCATTAGTTGATGCAAATCGGCGAATAACCACACGAGAGATCGGTGAGAGATTAAATTTGTCGAATTCGACTGTTTATGACCATTTGAAAGGCATGGGCTTAACCTCGAAGCTCGATGTGTGGGTGCCCCATGTCCTTACGGAGCGAAATTTGTTGACGCGTTGATTCGCTCCTCAAACGTCAAGAAAATGATCCATTTTTGAAGCGGATTATTACTGGGGACGAATAATGGGTTGTATACAACAATATTAAACGCAAGAGGTCATGGAGCAGAAAAGATGAATCGGCTCAAAACGTGTCAAAAGCCAACATTCACCAAAAAAAGGTGATGCTCTCCGTTTGGTGGGATGTCAAAGGAATCGTTTTTTTTGAGCTTTTGCCGGACAATACAACGATTAATTCAGAAGTCTATTGTCATCAACTGGACAAATTGAATGATTCACTTAAAGAGAAGAGGCCCGAATTAATCAACAGGAAGGGTGTAGTGTTCCACCAGGATAATGCGAGACCTCACGCAAGTTTGGTCACTCGCCAAAAACTTTTACAGCTTGAATGGGACGTACTGCAACATCCACCATATTCTCCGGATCTGGCGCCTTCCGACTACTATTTGTTCCGGTCCCTGCAAAATTTTTTGGATGGCAAAACCTTTATCTCAAATGAAGATGTCAAAAACCACCTGAACCAGTTTTTTGCCAGCAAGGACCAAAACTTTTATGAGAGGGGAATTATGTTACTGCCAGAAAGATGGCAAAAGGTGTGGGACCAGAATGGCCAATATATAATTTAATAAAATATTTATTCATTATACGAAAACTGTCTTTCATGTTCCCAAAAAAAAAACGAAATGACTTTCCGAACAACCCAATATAATGTTCCAACTTTCTGGATTATTCCGGTGTCGGTTGTTGGTGAATCGTCCTGTTGGCTTCTTCAGAGCTTTACTAGCATTCTACTCTGTGCCTGCTTATATATTGTTAGAGTGATTCCCATATTGCGATTGTTTGGTTACTCAAGAACTGGTGATAATGGAGAACCCTTAAGGCAACCATTTTTCAATTAAGATCTTTAAATTAGTTAACGGAACCATTAAGCACCAGAAGCCCGAAACGAAGTCCCCGTGGTACCCCCAGAGACGGTCGCTTCCAGGAAATCGCATTTTTCCCACGTGTAACCCGATAGGATTGAAACGTTTACGTCCTGAGCTTCCAAAACAGATCTCGGACATAAAACCGACGATATAAAACGCATATTAAGGGAATCGGGAGAGAGGAAAAAAAAGGTAAACATTAAACACGGCATTTTTACCATCTGCCGTCGGAATCTTCGACCGTTCCGATTCTTCGAAACTCTCGCTCCCTCTCGGTCCCTCTTCCCGCGTTATCCGAACGTAGAAGATCTTAATATTTGATACGCGAGCGCGAACGAGAGACCGCGTCCGTGGTTATTAAATTTTTTCCCGTAAAATGACGATTTTCGTAGTCGTCACGTCTATTAAAATGGCTTCTGTTTGTCGTTAGTTTTCGGAATTTACGGCCGCCGTTAATAACGTTAATGGCCGAAATTATTGTTCGGACGTACATATACCCGTTCGGGGTTTTTGTCGCTGCCGCTGCGTCGTGGCCGTCATAAAATTTCATATAATAATATGTAAGGACGTGTTATATTTCCACCGTGTTGACCGCCCGCGTGATTTATACGTTCGTGTACGTTTCGACTGTAAAATTGATGAAAAAAACAATTAAACAAATAAAAAAAAGCACGGACAGCTCACAGTCATAATCCCAGTGGCGTCGCGGCCGTCCCTGGAAAACGGTGATGCCTAAATACAGTGCCAGAACTGTGGTCATAACGGTTGCGAAGAAGTGGTAATATGGCCGTTCAATTTTTTGCGCATTTGATGGCATTATGACCGATTCATATGGGTTTTATCAACAAAAATATGCGAACATGGTCTCTTAAATGGTTTATCTGCGATCAGATATACCCAATCTTTTAGACGAGAGCGGCAAGTAATTCAACCAAATATATGACACTGGGCAATACCCGGAACAGTGACTATTTGCAAATTTTATTCCTCTACCAAAGAAGACCGGTGCACGAAAATGCGAAGAACACAGACTCATTACCCTCACGAGTCGTTCCCTAAAAATATTTCTGAGGATAATGCATCAGAGATGATGGATGGATGGATGATCTGCAACAGATTGTTACTTTAATGGGAGACTGTAGCCCGGATGTAGGATTAAACAAACACAAAGAAAACTAAATTCATGGTTATCCCTAGAGATATAAATACATTTAAAAGTGCCAGTTTAACGGATAATCGAAAAGTTATAGAATGCGTGGAAAAATTTTAGGTACCTTGGAACTGGGCCTTATGAAGAATGGTCTTCAGACAAGGACATTGAAATCCGAATTGAACAAGGTGCATTCCTAAAATTCAAAAAAATGTTTACTTGCAACGACTTTGACCTTGGTCTTTGGTTGAGATTTGTGCTATGGACAGCCAGAACGAGCACCGGATATGTTCTCAGGTGTATTAACAAACATAACCCCCACATTTCCCCATCGATGGGACTTATAACAAGAATTCGTAATTATTATGACCAATTTTGTGTCCGGATGCCATTACGTCCGGTTCATATAAGTATGACCGATAAAAAGAATATGTAGTAACGAACATGACCTGGAAACAAGTTACCCACAGGGAAAACATCATGCATTTTTTTCGTAGAGTAGTATGACTGTCTGAAATATGGAAAATTCGTTCGTACCACTACATTTAAGAATAATTAGTAATTATTATGGCCATTATTGAGTCCTGTCAGCTCACGCAACCAGTGCCATTATGACCAGTGGGTTAATGACCGCTTTTTGACTTGTTTTGTAATTTCAAGAATCTAGTTTGGTTTTATTGTTATTTAATAGTTTCAAACGTTCAATAATCATTATTCTGGACGCCAGACGAGAGTAAGATTATAAGAATTTCGATCATAACATTAATTTGCTGTGTTGAACTGAACTGGGCATTCGAAAAGTTTCGTATACCGATAGATTTTTTTCTAATATATTAAAATGTAACGTCCATATTTGAATAAAACATGACGGCGGCTTCTCAGAATTTAAATTGCGTAAGTATCCCGGATCGGTAGCACATAAATTAACTTTATTGTCGTTTTAACGAGGTTTGGTAAATTTGTTAAAAACGTCAAACAAACGCCCGTTGCCCAATTTCGATTTCCCGGAATAAACAATTAATATAAAACCGTAAAAGAAATGGGAATGTCGACTTTAACGACGCAGAAGCATCAGCGGCCGAAATCTCTTTAAACATTCTCATTAACGATCGTTGGAATGTGTACATTGTTATCGATATTTTTAAAATTTTTAATCTTTGTTTTGTTTTTGAAAAATTGATAATATCGCACGGTACATTTCCCGCAATTTTTTTCTAGGGTGTGACGACGTCTCAACCGACATAAACGGCACTGAACGAGTTTTTCGACCTGGCCCCCTCCACACCCTCCGTAGTCACCCTGGTGCTTGGCAATCTGACCCACATTTTTGCGAGCTTCACTGGGTCAAGAGCGCAACAGCGGGGGTTGTTATTCCCCCGCGTTTCAATCGTGGGGGGCGGCGGAATACGCGTATGCACACGTACGGGCGAGGGTATTTACACGAATGCAGATATTCGGGATCGGCAATCGGATTACGCAGCTTGTACTGTTAAATGGGTGGGTGTTTTCGGCCAAGAATTAAAAAAAATCACGACCCTTTCGAAAAATGACTGAAAGAATGACTTGGACAAGGCTAGGATTTAAGCTTGACATTTTTGAGATATACGTTTAGTATAATGAAAATCCATTATTACAACTTAAATTAGAAATATTTGATGAGATATTAGAATTTCGTCGAAATAACAGTGCCATACATATTTTGTTTTTGCAATTGAATTTTCGCTACAGATCACATTAAACCTAATGGTTATTTACGAGTTTTTCAAACATAAGTCCTTGTTCACTCCTTATGTATGCCTGTAATTTTTTGCACAAAACTGCACTATTTAAAATGAGCTTCTAAGTTTACGTGAAGGGACAGAATGTCCGGGACTAATTCTTGACAACCAATACATCAAGAAAACAACATCCAGAGCCGTAAAGATTGATTTTATTCAAATCAACATAACCAAACATTTTATATAAAAAAAAACTTGGGCGTTATATTTAAAGAAATTGAGACATGCTGTTTTGAAATTTCTTCATTTCTCTTCAGTATTCGGGACTCCCCATACACCGCTGACTGACTGCATTAACTTGAGCAATTAAACAGTGGTTTTCGAAAAATTTCCAACCAACTAACCAATAATTATAATTCTCCATCAACAAAGCAAATCGCACACAACAAATTATTTGGATACACTGTAGATACATGGTGTCTGCCCATATTTTGACCCACATCTACACGGTTTGCTGTGGGTTATATCAAATACGAAAGTGAGAGGATTCATTAACTTTTTTACAAATCTTATGGATTCCTTCTGCATTTATTTGCAATTATTTTTCAATATGAATGAATATGAACAAATAAAAAATAGCTAATAAGTAAATAATATTGTAATTCCAAACGCAAGCCGGCGACAAGCAATAAAAAAAAAACGGTTAAAATCGCGTCGATCCATCCCGCCCCTGTTGTTCGATTTTAACGTCGCCGCCGCCGGCTCGTAAAATGACATCGGGGGGCGGTTCGTGCCGCTTGCCGGATACTTCAAATCGGCCTGTAAAACACCCCATTTTCCAATAAACTGATATCAATACCTGCACCTGTTGAGTCTCTCGGTCGTTGGGGCGGGCGGACGAGGGGGTGGCGGTTAGGAGCGGGAAAAAAAGGGGGCGACGAAAAATCTCGGCGGTCTGTTTTGCGTTTCGCTTTGGCGGGGGCGGCATTGTTAACCCTCCGCCGCGGCGGAGGTCTCTAATAAGGTGGCGTAGTGTCGGAAGTTTACAAGAAACCGACTTTATTTGATCCTCCGCCGATAAGGATGGTGTGAAATCGTAAACGCAAACTTGTAAATCAGTTTTATCTGCGCGGGGTGGGGTGGCGGTGCGGCGTCGAGGACAATGCCGGGGTTTGTAGCCAAGCGCAGAACTTACAGCGTCGCACAAAGGACCTAACACCTGTTGTGGGTATGGTCTGTTCATAGATATAAGAAAGTGACCAATTGCTTTTGCATGGGATTATCCAAGGGCGATCGGAATTTAAATTCGGGTAAAATTGTGGTCCGTGATGGAAAATAATTTTATACCTACCTGTGTTTAATATTCTTTGGATTGGTATACTACTTAGTTTAAGTTTATTAGTAATCATTCTTATTTCGTATGTAATACAACGTGTGTTGAATCGTGTGCGAATTATGCAAAATATGTGCGAGTCTAGTGTATCTCAAGAGATGCTCCCGCCCAAATGTAGAAAACACTATTCTGTTGAGACTAAGGAAGTTATAAACAATGTTGATTTGACTCTCATTGAACGTGGTGCCAGCAAGCAAGCATCTTTAGAAGAAACGGCCACATTGACGAAAATTCCAACATTATAGAAAATTGTGAATAATCCCATTTCAGCGAGGAAAAAAAGAAGCGATGTTGACGTTTTCTCGAGGATAGATGAAAGTGATCAAGATATAATACGGCGTAAAATTTAGCAGTTATACGAGGAACAAAGCGTGCCTACATTAGATATTTTAATTAGGAGGCTTGAAAAAGATGAAACCGGTGTTAAACTTGGCAGAACTACCTTATCTAAGTGTATTAAAGCACATTTAACCTTTTAAAGTGAATACATATTGTCTTCTATCCAATTAATAGCTCCTTAGAAAATATACTATATATATATATATATATATATATATATATATATATATATATATATATATATATATATATTCTCACGTATTGATTCACGGATGGAAAAATGTGATGACACTATATTCCGGGATATCATCCGTTCGCTCGTTGAACTCCGACTGGAATCCTGCATCCGACTGGAATCCTGCAAATCTTGCATCCGACTGGAATCCTGCAGACGTTTCGCCAAAATCTCACTTGGCATCTTCAATGCTCGCGCTCCGAAAACACTTCGAACACTATATATATATACAGTGTGTCCAAGATAAGGATGCACAGCATGGGGATCTCGGAAACTATAAGAGATACAGTGTCGGTTAAATTAGACAAAAGTTGCGCATTTTGATACCGAACAAGATCCCGTTTTACAAATTTGAAAATTCCAACCCGTTCCGGAAATATCCGAGAAAAACCGAAATATTGCGATTTCGTTTTTATTATTTTTTAAAGCTATTTGAAAAGATATGAAAAAACGGAAAACACTTTTCCATTGGCACTTTTTAATCTCTCCAAATTGACGTTAACAAATTTTCATTACAGCGTTTCGATTCCATGGAACCACCATCAACTTTGATTTTTCTTATGGGACGGAAAAAAAGTACACACAGTATTAGGTTGTGCTTTTCATTGCGAATTCAACGATGTACGATACAATACGGTTACTTATGTTTTTATCCATAAAAATGGATTTTTAATACATTTCAGCATTTAAATGGAGTAGGCCATGACAAAATGACATCCAATCAATTTCAATGACACATTAATGTTATTTGTCTTTGTTATCAGTCGATCATAAGTTTATTCCTTTAGTTATTGTTTTTGTATTTTTATTGTTGTTGTCTTTTTCTAATTTATTTTGTTCTACAATGGAGGGAGGTAATTTTACAAACGAAGAAAAATGTGATATGCTGTCTTGCTACATCTGATGCCAAAGAAATTGTGTGGAAGCCGAGCGTATGTATTCTAACAAATACCCAGAGCGCAGACAACCTGACAAGAGTATTTTTCGGCGTTTGGTATTTAATCTGAAAGAATATGGATCATTTAAGAAGCCTGCATTATCCCGACAAAAACCTTCCAGTGAAGAAAACCAATACATTGTTCTACAATCTGTTATCGAAAATCCACAAACTTCTACCAGAGAAATTGAAGACCAGAATGGGGTAGCTAAATCTACAGCTCAGTTTATTTTAAGGAAAAATGAATTTAAGCTTTACAAATTCAGAATATGTCAAGGATTAAAACCGGGTGACGACGAACGACGTAGACATTTTTGTGAGTGGTATACCAGGATGTGTGATGAGAGTTTTAATTTTCCATATAAAGTGATTTGGTCTGATGAAAGTATGGTGACCAATAACGGTATTTATAACAGGCGCAATACACACTATTGGTCGCAACAAAATCCACGTGTTAATAGACTATCCAGACATCAAGTTCGCTTTGGGTTTAATATTTGGCGTGGGATTTTTGGTAGCAAGATTATAGGCCCTATTTTCTATAATAATTCCTTAACTTCCGAGCGGTACCTTGACATCTTGAGGCACGATTTAGAAGATGCCTTAGATGATTTACCGCTAGGCGCTGTGCAAGGCTGCTGGTTCGAACAAGATGGTGCCCCAGCCCATAACTCCAGAGAAGTTCGCCAATATTTAACTGAACGGTTTGATGGAACATACATTGGGACTTACAGTGAAACACCTTGGCCTCCAAGGTCCCCGGACTTAACTCCCTTGGACTTTTCTTATGGGGCTACATAAAAAATGAGCTATTCAAAGAATGTTTTGACAACGAGGAACAATTACGTCAATCAGTACGAGCAGCGTTTAATAAAATTACTCCTGAAATGTTAAGTCGTGTTTTGGAGTCTACCGTGAGACGGACGTACTTATGCCTAGAAAATGGAGGTCATTTATTCGAACATTTGTTATAGAATTTGTTTTTCCATTTTCTTTTGCCTTTCATCGTTCGGATCTCATGGCCTACTACAATAAAATACTAGAAATGTATTAAAAAGCCATTTTTCTGGATAAAAACATAAGTAACCGTATCGTATCGTACATCGTTGAATTCGCAATGAAAAGCACAACCTAATACTGTGTGTACTTTTTTTCCGTCCCATAAGAAAAATCAAAGTTGATGGTGGTTCCATGGAATCGAAACGCTGTAATGAAAATTTGTTAACGTCAATTTTGAGAGATTAAAAAGTGCCAATGGAAAAGTGTTTTCCGTTTTTTCATATCTTTTCAAATAGCTTTAAAAAATAATAAAAACGAAATCGCAATATTTCGGTTTTTCTCGGATATTTCCGGAACGGCTTGGAATTTTCAAATTTGTAAAACGGCATCTTGTTCGGTATCAAAATGCGCAACTTTTGTCTAATTGAACCGACACTGTATCTCTTATAGTTTCCGAGATCCCCATGCTGTGCATGCTTATCTTGGACACACTGTATATATAACAACCATACATACCAATATCAATACATGCAACGAATGCATAAAACGAATTTAAAACATTACCCCCCTATACCCCATACGAATCTCGAACATTTCCTCGGAACCAAAACACCTCGCGTATCACCCATTTCCTCGTAGAAGCATCCATATTCGACCAACGATTCCCAGAACCCGACCATTTCCTAGTCCGTCGACCGTAAATAATTTCGGAAACAACTTTCCCATGGTGTACGACATAGATATATATATATACAGAACAACACCTGATATTATTTCTTAATATTCCCGGAATAACGAGGGGCCACTTAAATTAGTTTGGTGACCCGAACCGCTCGCGTTAATTGCCCTCCAGTTAACGCGTCTACGAATAATTATACGACCA